TCTTCTTCTTCTTCTTCTTCTTCTTCTTCTTCTTCTTCTTCTTCTTCTTCTTCACCTCCTCCTCCCCTCCCCCTCCTTTCTCTTCTTCTCCTTCTCCTTTTCCTTCTCCTTCTGTGCATCACCATCATGACATCATCTGTGCAAACATCGTTGTTCATCGAGGAGACAGCTCAGAGTAAGCCTAAACGTAACCAGATACAAGGGAGGCTATGACTACATACCTGATCCTACTGGCTGGTGCTCCAGTCGTTTGATTTCCTTTGTGTCTTCCGTCCTCTTGAGGTATGTATAGCGACCGGTCTTGATGGCTGAGGGGGAAAAAGGGAGGGGGGGGGGCTTAGAGGGGTGTTTGGCGCTTACATGACATTATACAGTTGCGAGCGCCGTAAAACCTCTACTAAAACTAACTTAGAGGTGAGCGACTTCAGTGTTTAAGACTCAGTAAAAGCCAAAAATGAAGAGAATTGCAAATTCTTTATTTCTAATTGTTTCTACTAAAATCCCCCAAAGTAAGTGCTGAATTTCTCTCCCTCACACACAACACCGCCCCACCGCCCTACCACATACACACACACACACACACACATTCACACACACACACTCACACAAACACGCACACACACAACAATTTACAACCATGTCCCTGCCAATCACCACTGTGCTGCGCCCTGTATTTTGAGTGAGGGTTGTCCTGTCTTGCTCAAGGACACACCCCAGTGACCACTCATCTGATCCCCGTGTCACCGACACTTGCTTGACATTACTTGAGTCTAAACTCACTACTGACTTAGCCACTGGAGCTCTCGGCTGCGATGTGGTGTTGTCTTTGTGGTTGTCAGATGAAGGGTGGTTGGTGGGCGAAGGTTTTTAGAAGTAGTTTTAGTAGAGGTTTTACGGCGCTCGCAGCTGCATAAGGTCATATGAGTGCCAGAAGATTAGAGGTGTTACAAGAGAGTAACAAACTTAAAAACAAAAAGAAGAAGGGAAGATAAGGACGATAGATGTTTGATAGGAAAGAAGAAGCAAACCACACCAGAGCACCCGCCAACCTCCCACAGTGAAGGTTTAAATAAAATTGTGATGTAAATGTTTTTTGCCTGCCCCCCCCCCCCCCCGATCAACACAATTTAGGTCGTTTAGGAGGCGGGCTTTTGACCATGACTGTCGAGGCTGAATGAGGCTGAAAGGGATACAATACAGTGGGTGGTTGGCGGGTGCTCTGTTCTGGTTTGCTCCTTCTTTCCTTTCAAATATCTATCGTCCTTATCTCCCCTCCTTCTTTTTTGTGTTTGTTAATCTCTAGTAACTCCTCTAATTTTCGGCACTTATATGACCTTATTGTGTTGCAAGTGCCGTAAAACATGTACTAAAACATAAAACAGGATATAATACAACATCCCAGCAGAAAGACTGAGATACTTTGTAAAAATGTTCTCCCTACATGGGAACTGGTGTATGTCTGTGTGTGTGTGTCTGTGTGTGTCTGTGCGTGAGTGAGTGAGAGTATATATATGTGGGTGTGTGTGTGTGTGTGTGTGTGTCTGTGTGTGCGTGAGTGAGTGAGTGAGAGTATATATGTGTGTGTGTGTTTGTGTGTGTTTGTGTGTGTGTGTGTGTGTGCATGAGTGAGTGAGTGAGTAAGTGAGTGAGATTATGTGTGTGTGCTTGTGTGTCCGTGTGTCTGTCTGTGTGTGTGTGTGTATGCATGAGTGAGTGAGAGTGAGAGTATGTGTGTGCATGCATGCGTGTGTGTGTGTGCATGAGTGAGTGAGTCAGAGTATGTATGTGCGTGCGTGTGTGCTTGTGTGTGAAAGTATGTGTGTGCTTGTGCGTGCATGTGTTCGTGTGTTCAATACACTAAACCAGTGTGCCAGCGTCTGGACAAATAACCATTTATTGTGTTGTAAAGTGCATTGACCATGCAGTAGAGTGTAAATGCAGTTATAGTTATTATTATTATCATTATCGTATTGTATTATTAGTATTACTATTGTTATTATTTTCATAATAACCATTATTATTATCATTACTGTTGTTGTCATTGTTATTATTATGGGAAGTATTATCATTACTATTGTTGTCATTGTTATTATTATTGGAAGTATTATCATCATTATTATCATTATTATCTCATCTTTTTGTCATTATTATCGGTTTTATTATTATTATTATTATTATCTCATCATATTATTATTAATATGTGAGGCAGCGGGGTGGAATCAGGCTCTCGTCAATTTTTGGGCATGTAGAGTTATTGGTATAATCGTAAAGGTTGTTCACTTGTGTTTATTAGGATGAAAATAATATCCATTTATCTTAAATACAAGTCGAGGTATTTGCGAAAGAAAGAGGTGGGGGTCACTTGTTTTCAGAGGTAAAATTAGTGAGAAAATGGCCGCCAAAGATAGTTTATTTCCTTAGTCTGAGAGTCCGTGGTAACTGAAAATTTACATTTTTTTATGCTCTTAATTAACGTTTTTCAGAAATGTTTAAACAGAAATGAGTTCTTTAATGGGCATGAAAGGTGTTAAGCCAAAAAACAAAAATTTGATAAAAATTCATAAACCTGCGAAAAAATGCAAGTTTCTTCACTTTGATTATTTTGACAAAAGCCTAATTCCACCACGCTGCCTCACATATTATTACCTCATCTATCATCATTATTTTCTCATTATTATCATCTCATGTAGTCTTGCCATTATTATCATTGTTCTTATTATCTTATCTTATTATCATTATTATCATTATGGTTATTATCTCATCTTATTATTATTATTATGTTGTGTTACTATTATTATTATCATTATTATTATTTCATCTTTTTATCATTGTTATCATTATTGTTATTATTATCTCTTCTTCTTCTTCTTCTTCTTCTTCTTCTTCTTCTTCTTCTTCTTCTTCTTCTTCTTCTTCTTCTTCTTCTTCTTCTTCCTTGCCATCAGACTGACGATCACGACGGGACGACTCACCATCAGCAACCCGGTGGAGTCGGACACCGGAGTGTACCAGTGTGTGGCGGTCAACGAGTACGGGACAGTGCTCAGCTCTACTTCAAAGCTGACGTTTGGGGGTGAGTGGTGGGGCTGAGGATGTGTGTGTGTGGGTGGTCTAGGGTCTTGTTGTTGTTGTTCTTCTTTTTTTCTTCTTCTTTCTTTCTTTCTTCCCTCTTCTTCTTTCTTTCTTTCTTCCCTCTTCTTCTTTCTTTCTTTCTTTCTTTCTTTCTTCCCTCTTCTTCTTTCTTTCTTTCTTTCTTTCTTTCTTCCCTCTTCTTCTTTCTTTCTTTCTTTCTTTCTTTCTTTCTTTCTTCCCTCTTCTTCTTTCTTTCTTTCTTTCTTTCTTTCTTCCCTCTTCTTCTTTCTTTCTTTCTTTCTTTCTTTCTTTCTTTCTTTCTTTCTTTCTTTCTTCCCTCTTCCCTTTTCTTCTTCTTCTTGTTCGTGTTTTTGTTGTTGTTGTTGTTGTTGTTCTTCTTCTTCTTGGCCGATGCGGCCAGAGTATGGAACGGTGCTCAGCTCTCCCTCAAAGCTAACCATTGGGGATGAATGGTGGAGCTGAGGATGTGTGTGGGTGGTCTAGGGTCTTCTTCTTCTTCTTCTTCTTCTTCTTCTTCTTCTTCTTCTTCTTCTTCTTCCTCTGCGAGAACAAACTCTCTGATTCTCGAGACGTCTAAGAGGTTTTACCTCCACATTTGAGGGTGAGTGATGGAGCTGAGAATGTGTGTGGGTGTTCTAGGGTCTGCTGGGGGTAATGATATGTACAGACTGGCAAGCGCATCGAGCTTTGTGTTCATTGGAGATATGCTCTTTTCAACTGCTGTTTGTTTCTTGTTCTTGTTCTTGTTCTTCTTATCTTGCCTGTTTCTTTTCTATGAAATATATATTATCGTTATCTTGCCTCCTTCTTTTCTTTGCATGTTACTCTTTTGTAGAACCTCTAGTCTTTGACACTTGTAGTATGACTTATTTGTTTTGCAAGATTGGAACGAGCTAGGAAGGATGGCCCAGGACAGAGATAAATGGAAGGAGCTTGTATGTGGCCTATACCCTTTCCAGGGGTGAAAGGCATTGATAATGATGATGATGTGTTGCCATTGCGGTAAAACACTTACAAAATTAGAAAAACCAAACAAACCCTTCTGTCCCCAGATTTGGGCGAGTTCTCTAACGTGGAGGAGGCACCAGTCTACGGAACGGAGTACAGAGGTGCCCAGATTCAGTGTCCACGTATCACAGGAACCCCAGGTTTGGATTTTTGGCAAATCATGAAAAAAAAAAAATGTAGGTGTTGTTTTTGTCAGTCCCATTGACACAGTTGTTTTTTTTTGGTGCCCCCCCACCCCCTCTAAAACAACCTTTTCTAGGTCCGACAATTGCGACCCGACCTTCGAGCCGGCCTATGCTATCGCTAGGCCCACCTGTATCAGTCAATGTGCGTAGTGCGAGGCCTGGCCGACTGTCAGCGCCCCCCTTTTTCTCCCGTCGGCTTTGTCGGCACTTTCGTTTTCTTGCCGACGTCGGCGTTTCCGACACAATTGCCGGAACCTGAGTAGAAATGCGAATACGAAAAAGGACGACGACCTAAATGATCTACTTTCAGTTTAGTCAATGATAGTACATAACAAGATGGGCCACTTCTCTCTTAGAGCCAATTAAAAAAGTGTCCTCAAAATTTGGTGGCGCCCTCTTCACAAAAGCGCACTCTTTGCGAACAGAGTTACCCTACTTGGGTTTTAAAAAATCAAAGTGAAACTAGCAAGTTTTGGGATAAATTTCGGAAGAAC